ATTTTGGCGTAACTGAGTCTATAAAGAGGTAAGATAAATCCGGATAATCTTCTTGGCCTAGTGTTAACGAAAGCCTTTTACAAGAATGGCACCCAGCTCTGATGATGTGCATTGAATGATGGACGAAAGTTGAACACGTTTTCACGCGAAACGAGGAAGGAAGTCCTGCGGACGGCTGAAGTTTCATCCGTCCTCATCCGGTCAGATCGACCAACGAATCTCTTCTTAATGCACTTTTATACGAAACAAAGGTCCCCCTAACGACATTCTATTCGTTCATGTCTAGCCTTGGGGAAAATCAGGACCCTTTATCTAAATCAGGCTGCTACAAAATAATGTGTTCATGTGGCTCACCTTATGCTAGAGAGACCGGTCGTTCCATTCTCCAGGAACTGGGGAAACGGAAAGATTTGCTGTAGAGACTGTTGGGTCGAAGGCTCGGAAGTGGCGGAGAACAGGACGAAGCTTGAACACGAATTAAAACGGCCTAAGAATGTTCGGTTTACAGATTCTGCTATGCCTTGAATGAGAACTGACTCGCTTGTGGTGATTTAAGGACCGTTGGTTGGATTTTTCCGGCGACCCTATGAGTAGGCCTCATGTTAACCTTGAAGTTTCTTTGAGCCTGCTTGCCAAAAGTTTCTCTTATTCAACATTACTTGCTGCTTCGCCCTTGGCTAACTTTAATAAGCACTATTTAGCGGGTTTCGCAGAACTGGGTCGTTGGTTTCTCCCAGATACTGTTTATAGTGGGCTTCTCGATCAAATAAATCATGTATCCGCCATTGAGCCAGACGACGTCACTTTTTTTCCATGTGAGTATCGGTAGTCCTTAAACAAGAAGAACTTAGTGTTGAAGCGATAAATAAATGAATTAGCTAATTATCATGATATTATTGAGTTTCACTTGGATATCCCTTTTTCCTGCACCCGATTACTCCACACATCGTAAAGTCTTCTGAAGCCCTGGCACCATATTTGCAGAATCCTGGGGTGCATTCGTCCATTTGACCCGGATGTCCCTGAAGCCTCTTGAGATGCTCGATACTAACTTTTTTGTCTGCAATTCTATTTATGTTGCATTTTCAATTGTCTGGGTGAAATATGGTGCAGAAAAAATCCTCGCTTCTTAGAGTAGTTTCACACAATGATTTGCTCATAGAATCAAAATTGGCATGTATATTAGATGTACTAACTCTGTCTCGCTCAAGGTGATGAAGTAGTGGGGCATGGAGAGAATGAGTAGCTGAATTTTCTCATAGTCAGATGAGTAGACCTTATATTTTCATTGAATTCCATCCAGGGTTCGAGTCCCGCCGAGGGCGAAACTGCGCTCCCCTCCTGCGTGGATGAGAATGCCTCTTGAGAAAGCAAAGCTGTGTGAAATCCAATGGGAGCGTAAGGCTTGTCCGTATGATTGTGAGAAAAGGCAACTACCAGTCCTTCGTCACCTTAAACGAAATAGGGTGAATGCATCAAATAGATGTAATCTACCGGTAGACTCGAAAAGCTCATTATAAACGAAAAATGGACATGATTTAATCATTTTCATAGTCAATTTTGTTAGCATCAGTGATGTAATTGTTCAGCCTTCTTCGTCTGCAGAGCTTCTGTGAAAATTGACTATAAATTACACCCTTTCGTCCTATCACTCCTCTGTATTCTTTTTCTGTTTAGGTGGTACCTCCTAACCAGTCCTTCAACCGGCCTGGCCGCCTCACCAAGTCAGTTAGTCCGACTGGTCCATATCCCTACGTCGGGATGTTCTGGTTCCGACTTTGGCACTTTGGTGAGTGGATCGACATTGTCGTTGACGATCATCTGCCCGTCAGAAATGGTCGTCTCGTCTTTCTACACTCTACGGACAAGACAGAGTTCTGGTCAGCTCTGCTAGAAAAAGCCTATGCCAAGTAAGCTGTTCCAATTGTTTTGGGAAACTTTCCAACTGTTGACATGACAATCCTCGGCTTTTTGAGGCATTCAAAGTCGCGGAACCGATCAGGAGGCTGATCAAATGTGGATTGAATGACCCACTTTAATCTCTTTCCTGTTCCTATTATGAGCATAATTAGATAAACATTTGGCCTAAACGTGCCAAATTTCCCGCTTTGCCGGCAATTCCTATTCAGCTCATTTTAT